GAAATTGAATCCTATTAAATAAAAAAATTATGTGGATGAATTTGGATGAATGAAAATTTGTTTTAAATGGATGAATTTTTATTTACAAATAAAAAATTATACTTAGATGAAAATTTATTTATAGATAAAAATATATTCTTGGATGAAGATTTAAACTTGAATGATAATTAATACTAAAAATAATTAAAATTAAAAATATATATAATTTTAAAATTAAAATCATTTAAAAATTAATTCATAAATAAGTAATAGTTGTGAGTTAGAAAAAAATTTCTATTAGAAGGTTTTATCTAATTCACAATTGAAGAGTTATTAGAAGTACATGACATAAATCAAATGCTAATAGGATTTTTGTTAGAAAACTTAGACAATTAAAATCATTGTAAACTCGTTTAGACTTCTAATTAGTTGAAGTTTATTTTAGTTTACACATCTTGTAAGTCAATTTGATAACTCATAGTATTGATTACTTCCATATGAATGGATTATAAGCGGAATTGAAATATTTTTGCAAATAGCTTGTATATTACATTGAGGAGCATGATGGACCTCTAGTTGGTGAGGTGTCCATGCACTCTTCTTTTGTGTATTAGGGAATGATCTCTAGGATAACTCAAGATGGCATTTTTTTAATTTTTAAGCTCCTTTGAGATCATCCCAAGATAATCATACTTAATAAGATCTTAGTACTCTTTGTAGAATTTTATGATTATATCATTTGGGCTAGAGGCTCATCCAAATACTATGCTATTCAATGCAATTTTTAACTCCAATAGACTAGGTGGGATGATTAAAACTACCTTATCAGATGCCAAAAAGTAATTGAAAAGGCCCTTGAGAACATGGATTGCCACCTCTTTTTGTACCTCAAATAAAATAGTGGCTTTGTACAATGTGGCATATTATTCTTCTTAGACCTATTCCATGCTCTTTTGGTTTGTGATCACCATATCTTACCTATTCACAAGTTTTGTAATTTGCAATGCTCCTGAATGTTCTCCAATGGCTCTAAAGAATTCCTTCAAGCACAAGTCATAGCTTTACTCCCATTTAATTCTACTCCTAACAAGGTTGTCCATTAACATGTCATTATTTGTATAATTGAAATTGTTTAGCTATGAGACTAAAGTTGGATTAAATTATCAACTCAAGGAGATTAAAGTTGGAGGCAATGACCACCTTTGATAGCAAGTAGAAAAGATTCTTCTCAATCTCTCTATAATCTTCTATTTTACATGAGCAAAAATCTATACAAAACTTGATAATTCTTTGTAGCATTTTAGTGAATCCAAAGTGAAAGTTAGCTTGCTAAATTTGGATAATATTGTGAGCTACCACCTTTAAAGCGAAGTAGTGACTATTCATTTTATATGTTGTTTTTGGTTTTTCTTTGCTCTAAAGTAAGATCTGCCTTCAAATCGGGATGTGATAAAAATAGTTGCTATCACTTTTAATATGGTAGCCAGTCATAGCTAGAGTATCCGAGCTCATGGATCAAAAAACATAGAATCAGTCAAGTCGCACTAGGACCCACACTCTGTCCCTTTTCTTGTTATTTCAAGAAAATTTAACTGGGTTATTATCCAAAACGTTTTCGCAATATGGAGAGCTGTGGTAAGCTCTCCAATCAGCCTCCTATTAACTTTTGTCATTATTTTACCACATGAGGATTTATCTGCACATTTCTCATCCATGTTCCAATCCCCTCTAAGAATCCACTGGCAATCTCTGAATGGAGTAGATAGAATCTTGGACAATAAGGCCATCTTCTCACCTACCTTTGTAGATGCATATACATTTAAAACAACCTTGCCTCCCTCCCCCCTCAGTCCTCTCCCCTCCCCTCCTACCCCTGGGAGCTCCGGGCATCCGCACCCAATAAGCCCTCTCACAGCGGGAGTGCCTAGAGCTTAAGACAAGGTGAAGGATCAGCAGAGCCACCCATGAGCAGACCCCTCCTCAACCAGCCTCTTTTGCATAAAAGTTTGCTCGTGGCCAGATTGACTTAGCCAAAGTGAAGAGCTTACCTCCTTGAATCTTATGCTCCTAAAAACATAATATATCAAATTCCACTTGAAACGGGTGATAATAATTTTAGATTATATTAACCTTCTGTGAGCAGTTAAGCCTTTGAATGTTTTGAGATATAATTGCGATCTTCATGACAGATGAGGGAGGACGGGGAGGGGAGGGAGGTATGTGGGAGGAAAGGAGGGAGGATAGTGGAGAATTAGAAGAGTCCGCGGATAGACTCCAGCTTGGTACCAGTTTTTGGAGTACTTCGACAAGAGTAAAGAAGCATTGACCTTTGCCATTGGGCAAACTCTGAGATATCAAAACGATGCTCGAGTTGAAAATCTGTGAGCTTCCTTGTTTGGGAGGTGAAGAAGCCACCAATTGGGGGAACTAGTCCCCTATCTCGGAGTCACTCTAGAAACTGTGCACATAGATACTCCGAGACAATTGCGCCAGATGGAGTCATTGGTAGAGAACGAGGACTTGAGGTTGCTGAGAGGAAGTCCTCTTTTTGTGTTGAAATCAGAAGTTTCAATGGATATGCCGTTGAGGCGTCACCCACACTTTCAAAAACCACGGATTGTAACATTGAGACGAGCCTATTCAGATCGATGGCCATTCTTACATGGACTCCCAGTCTATTATCAGTCTGGACATGGAAATCACTCATTGTCTCTTCCTATCCTGTGGCTATTTTTTGAGGAGATTGAGGGGGGATAGAACTACCAAGAGCGGTTTGAGATAGTTGGAGGCTCCGACTAGGTTTCTTCCGCTTGGTTTGATCCATCCTCTGCTGCCTAGTTCACGCTCCTCGCAATGGATTGGCCAAAGGCAGGTCTTAGGTCCACTGAGTCTTGAGAATCCCCTGCTGATGTGTGATTATGTATCCCTGGATTGGGGTGAAGATCATGAATAGGGGAAGTTAACTAGCTATGGGAAGATGGGTTGGTCAAACGCGCAATCCTATCAACCAAACCGAAATTAACTAATGCCCGGATTACTTGTGCTTGTTGCTTGTATGTCTCCATCTTTTCTTGCTACTTCAGGATCTCTCTCTTAGACGGACCCTGAACCTTCTTGCCACTGTGCATCTTCTTTCATCCATTCCATTTCCATTCTAGAGTTTCACGTGATGAGTCTGGGAGTTGGGCCCCTATGATGGTGTGACAACTACTGGAAGACAGGTCTTTTTCTTGAGAGCCACTGGCAACCCCTACAACCCCTGAGTCGTTCAAACTACAAAGTAGGATTATCGGATTTTTACCTTCTTCTGTCGGAGGGGCTAGAAGAAGTCTAGTTTTCGCCGGTTTGGGAGTCTGTTTTCCCTTGGTTACGTTATCTTTTGTAGCCTCAAACTCCTCTTAACTAGGGAGCTTCCGACAGTCCTTGACAAGGTGACTAGTTGATTGGTAGAGTCGACATTGAATGGGGAGATTGTAATAGTTGATCAGTATGATGGCTCTCTTCCCTGTCACAACATTTGTGATGGAGAGGGAGGGCTTCCACCACGACCTTGAAGAGAGCCCGATACAAAATCTTTTGCCTATCGAAGAAGCAATACGTTTGTTGCTCTGTAGCAATTTTCCTGAACTGCTGGCCATGTGGGCAGCCACTCCCAAGCACTCACCGGGTATGTTCTTGAGGGTAACCCAAGTCGAGACTCTCAAGCATGTGGGGCATGCAACATTGAAGCCTGAGATCCGAGAGTGTAGGATGCAGGTCTTCCACCAAGACTTGTGCAATGTCAATGTGAGAACCTTTTGAATGATTACTGGTTGGCGACACATGATTTGAAAGAAGCCACGACCCAAGTCGCGGCCTACACCTATCTAGTCCCCCACCTGCTTTTGCACACAATCGATCAAACTAGAAATGATCGATGGAGATTGCTTACCTCCTATAAAATAGGCCACTTCATCACTTTCGTGAGTCTACTTCCCGCAACCTATCTCTTATGTCGGCCTCGAATGAATAGAAATTCTGACGCCATTTGAACCCTGATGTGGATGGCCTTGGATGAAGCTTCTGCACCAAGCTGGTTTTTTTTTCTCTCCATGACCAGTCCTTGGTCTACATCACAATCGCATCTCATGTGCAGAAGAACAGTTTTGTGAGCAAAGCCAAAACCTTGGATCCCACGTGTTGCATCGGATGGGACGTCGGGGCTTGCGAGGACTGCAATTCATGATAGGGCTCATCACAACATCGGATCAGTTTTGTCGACTTTGTGGACACCTTGAGATATTTAAGATTTATTTTATTTTATAGAAGCGCTGACTTATCCTATGCGACCTGCACTATTCCAACCAGGAGTGGTCTTGAGAAACGTCTTGAATATTACGACGATGAGCAGAGAGGGCTGAATTCACTACACCGGTAAATCATCGATAATTCTGAATTGCTGTTGAAACAGAGTGCCACTTCGCATGTGATGAACACGATCCTTCCGATTTGTAAATAAAACGATGTACATGCACGATTTCTCAAGTTAAGAGACTACGAAAGTGCATGCGCAATAATTCAATTGGGTCGGTCATATTTCATTGGAATTTTCTTCGCAGACTAGTATGCTTAGAAGTGTACAGTGCATAATCAACGGTCTTTGTTTATTGTCAACTAAATTTTAGCAAACATCTGATGAATTTGGGTGGGGGAAATGAGAACTATATCTCATTATGAATAGGATTTGTTGTTGGAAGTGATTGCGAATTTCACAACAATTACTGAAAAGTGTGAAATAATAGCCGCAAATTTGCGCCAAGTATGGTCACAACTTTAGATTTAGCATAGAAAAAAGATATACTGCAGTTCACAATAAATGTTCATAGTCATATTAAAGTGAGTTTTTTCTGTGTGTCCTCAGTTCTTTAGGAGTATTGACTTGCTAAAAATCAAATTTCGTTGGTAGAACTGGTGGGGCACATACAACGAAGGGCCCGGTCCTCTGGCAAGGACTAGCATGCAGAGAAAGTGGTACAAAACTGTTACAGTATAAAAAAGACAAATAAAGTTTATGCATCTCATTTTCATTGATAACAGATGTTGCCCCATGGATGGAAGCAAACATCTCTAACATCCGTCATTCGATGAGTAGATGCAGCGGATCCAGGTTCAGGGCATCATGCTTAAATCAGCTCCCTTCACAAAAGAAGTAATCCTCACGCAACAATTCTGATGCTCTCAATCATATCGAATACTGCAGGCTAATCTAACGAACATACTCTATTTCCAGTGAAGGCAATATCAAGCACTTGATTCTATTCCAGGATCGTCTCAGCGAGGATCACAGTCTACTAATGGAGTGTACCTTGGTTTGTAGAGCTTTAAAACCACACCGCAGTATGCAAGGTCCAAATTCAAGTTCCAGTTCTCATGGCATCGGGGACACCTAAGGGCATGACTAAAGTCTGCTCGCTAGGCTTGAGTCCTATTATTTGAGTCTTTGTTTCCCTCTTTATTGGATTTGTTCTTTCCCCCCTTGCCACCACCTTCGGCATCTGCCCATAGACAAGCGCGCTTCCGGATTTTGGCTAGAGCTTTTAGGCAAGCATCCGCCTTCACATCGCCCGTGACAGTAACCTTCTTGGTAGGGACGTTGACGATGATGCTGCTCACCCCTGGAGAACACGATTGAAGCCAAGAAGTGGCAGCTTTTAATCGATGGGAGCTGACATGTAGGTTCTTTAACGGGAAGAATAACTGTGAGTCTAAATTGTAGACATAGGTACCTCAATGCTCACTTCTCGAACGACCCGTCAGTCACGGCAATATAGAGAGTCGCTGGGGCGAAACCAATACGCAATGGAAGTGATTCTCAATCCAGGAATGAGTACGAAGAAGAGGAGAATGCGCACCATCGAGCTCGATGAGAATTCGCCGAACTTTTTTCACACATGCCTCACAGCACATGTCCACTTTCAGATGCACTTCACCATTGTGGCCCTTCTGCAGGACACGGCATAGAAGTCAGGTCAGAAGCTTCACTCATGTGACGGCAAGTAATCCCAGACCTGCAACGGCTCACTACAGATACCATAAGAAGTTAGCCTGTCTCAACTCATTAGAATAGCGACTGAAAGGACTAAGCGTCCATCAACCATTTTGGTGTGAACCACAGCATACCTTCTCCTTTGCATGGTTCAGTTCCTTCACAACAACATCCTCTACAGGCTTCAACTTAGGATACTCATATATGTACGTGAGTGCAGGCTCCGGCCCGTAGAAGAGCTACAAGACACATCGCCAACAGGGTCATGGATGACAATCACATAGAACAGAGAATGCCGCCTACTGGAAACATCAGTTTAATGAAAGGATTTATGATAATTTGAGTCCTGGGTGTTCTCAAATTAGGCACACACAAGACAGGGCGAGGAATCCGACTGCAAAATACAGTGGACGTTCTGAACACAGTTAATACCTCGTTTATTGTCCACATCTTCGCTTTCCACAACCAGCTGCTGTCCTGAATTCAACGTCCCGATTGCATTCACACTACCGTAACTAGGATTGCAAATTGGCTACAAAATTTCAGCGAAAACCATCCAAAGTCACAGCTCCCTGCATGTAGATCAGCACTTCCTTCGATCACTGTAACAGAAGTTAAAGAATTCAGCACCAACCAAGTGGTTCGGACACTCAGACGACTGCGCTTGAAGGACACAGTAAATACAAATGCGCCTTCTTCAGCTCAAGTGACCTGTTAAGCAATTCCTTGGTCCAACGGAAATGAAGGATATACACGATTTAGTGTTGGTTCGTGTTACTGACGTCGCTCAGGAACTGCAAGTAAACGACCTCAACCACTCTACATGAGACGTCGAATTCGTCTACCGATGGGGGTTTAAATTGAAAAACAGAGAGAACGGGAAGCCTCTCATGCTTAGTCCTGCACTCTACACCAGTTGTAGAACGGCTTAAATCTAGTTTGCGTGTCGTTAATCCCGTCTTGAATCTTAATCCCGTTATGGTTTGTTCGGTGATTCTGTCTAAAACGGCACCTCTGATAGATCTGGCAACTGAGAAAGAGGCTAATCAAGTCTACTCTTTTTCAAAATAAGTGTCTTAATTAGCTACACATTTGTGTTCAGATATAAACCGCTACTTGGTTGTATATTGGCATGAATTGAGCGAGATGCTCATTACTGTGAAGTGATAGTCTTGAGTTACTCTAATTGAAAGCCCTGCAACCTGAGTTGACGGTGAAGTATTGCCTCTAGTCCCAAAAATAAAGAAAAAAGAAAAAATCATCAAAAAGAAGATTTCTTTGGCATTGTTTTGTCCTAAAGTTACAATTCAAGTTGAGGCCAAACCAACACCAACAAGTGTGTATAAAATTCATATCATGTGTGGTGTCCCTGGCTTGAAGTAGCAAACTTTGCACAAAGAAAAAGCAAAGTTCATATCACAGCTTGTCATATTAAATGACAAGGGGTGGTTAGTTTTTTGAAGATTTATGGTGTTCCACAACCTGACAGCTCCATACAAGCTTTTTGTAAAGAGGTGTCCAACATTATCAGCAAATGATTTCATGCTGAGGTTAAGTTAAGTTTGTTTTTTAATTTAATTTTTTCTATTTCTATTCTTAATTTATTTCGTTTATGAAAAAACAAAACAAAAAAAGAGATGGACTCCACTAGTGGGTGGGGTCCAACTTGTTGATGTCTACCCCCCTGACACAATGCATTCTAGCTCTGGCTGGATTTATGGGGCCCTGATGATGATGATGTTCTGTAGCAGATCAGAACCTGGAGGCTCATCAAAAGGAGAGGCATATCATGCAAGCATTATCGGCCATGCAGAGTTAAGCCAGAATGAGGTTAAGTATTTATTAACAGAAATGAAGATTATGAATAAGAGATTTTCTGTCTAGAGTTACATTATATGCAATTTATTGTAGAATTAGAAAGTAGTGAGGTTGGTTACCCGAGAATTATTATCACCTCTGGTACTTGATATTTATTCAAGATTTTGAAAATATGTGGTCATGACTATGTAATGGTTCTTGATTGATTAAAATTCATATCTTAGTACACATCTGTGAGAATAGCTATCAATTATCTATGTTTAAAATTGTGTATTTGTGTAGTTATATATATATATATATATATATAGATGATGATGATGATGATGATGATTTTGAACTTTATCCTTTTAAAAGATCTGATGGGAGTGAATCAATTTATAAGTAGGTAGGATTAATAATAGTTGTATTTAGGTTTTGCTGTTGGTTGGTTTGTTTGTTTTTTTTAGAAAAGAAATAACAAGTAGTGATCCAGGTGATGTATTTAACATAAATGTGACATGTTTATTTTATTTATCTATGCACATCATCACACAACAAAAACAAGCAAGCACTTTTAATAGGTGTCTAACACATTTCCTTAATCTGTAAACAAAACAAATTGAATATCAAACAAACAAATTGAAAGTTCAAATTTTTATATATTTTGAACACTGAATTGAAAAAATCAGGCAAAAAAAAAGATTTTTATCCTGGAATTTCGTCCAAAATTAATTGCAAACAAATCAGTAAAAAGGTGTACATAAATGCCATGTAGATAGGTACAAAATCTTTAGCAAATGAGCAAGAATGGGAGAAATTGCACCTCACTGATCCTCACCTTCTGTTCTCCTCCGAAGCAGCCTTCAGCAAACAACGCTCGGTGAGTTTGGTTGGGTTCACTAGTCAGCCATCTGGCACTGAACCAGGCCAAAACCTGCAAAACTCCAATGGCCGACGGATCTCTGCAGCAAACAAGTAGGGTGACCGGATCCCCCCTCATCAGAAACGCCGCAGCCTTTTGCTCGCAACCAGAGCTGCTGTAGTTTCCAACACTGCGAGCAGCGCTACACGCATGGCAAGCCACCAAACTCACAGCCCCGCCGCAGCAGCCAATGAGATCGGAGCGGTGTCGAGGCGGGCACGACTAACACCTCCACCACTACAACCCAACTGTCAATGATCAGCGTCACCAGACGATGCTGCTGGACTGGGTCCAGATCCGTGGCACGGAGGTCTGTAAGTCAGTGTGGGACCCTGTCAGCTGCTGGAAGCATAGAAAGGAGCATCTAGCTAACTAGCAGTGGCGGAAACCTGAAGCGGTGCGGTGAAGTGCGAGAGCGTCTGGGGAGACGGGACGTGAATGTATCAGCGCCGCCACTGGAGGGGTCGGGTCGGGGGGGGGGGGGGGGGGATGTAATTGTGCCCCTTTTTCTTGCCTCGGCCTCCGAAACCGAGGTCACCACCACCACCCACTGCAGCGTCGCCTCTTCCGAGGAAGGCTCTGCTCCACCACGCTTCCCCCCTTCCCCCATTAGAGCATACTGTGTGGAGAGTACTTTCTGGAGGTAACTACGTGGACGGGGTCTCACAAAGTAACAAAGTTGTTGTCGTTGTTTCTTCATTTCGACACCAGGAATTGGCTACACAAATTCTCCTGTTTGATTGAAATCTATTCATACCAAGGGTGTCAATTGTTTACTTGATTCTTGTTGGCAGCCCAAGCTTGTTTTCTTGAGAGGTGAGTGTAACTGACACTTGCTTGACATTTGCAAATATAGTTCGTTCTTGTTGTACTCTTTCATAAAGCTTAGAAGAATTGCATAAGTTGTCTGATATTCAAGACGTTAATTGACTGATGTTGTTTGTTTGATGTTGGATATTTACGTTTCACTGAACAAAAGGATTGTTCAGTTGTTTATGGATTGTTGGTTTATTATTCAGAAACAGTTTTCTTTTTATCTTTTTAGTTTTTGTAAAATGTTGTTTGTGTTACTGAAATAATTTTTCATTGAAAATGTAAAGACTAAGTTGGCCAAAAAAAATGTACTGTAAGGAAATTCAGTTTTATTTTGAATGCTTGAATCTTAGCTATTTTTATCATTATTATTTATTCTTGTCTATTTTTGTAATGTAAAATGTATATTTGTTATTTTTCAATTTTCTTGTTTCAGATTGGTGTTACCATATCATTATTATATACCGATTTGATTATTTCTTTGAGGAAATATCTTTTCATTAAGAGTTTCTATGCATTTTATTTTTTTAATAAAAGAATTACTTTTGAAATCATAATAGATTTTTCTTAAAATTAATTATATTATGTATTATTCTTTCTAATTTAATTAATTTCTTACCTTTAAATGATTTTCATAGACATGCACATGTATTTATACATTAATATAATATAAAAAATAATTGAAACTCAACTTCAGAGAAATATCTAAGCTTTATATTATTTATATACAAAAATTTAAGAATTAAATATAAACTCAAAATTCTGTAAAGTTTCTGATTTTAACTTACAAAAATTGCAAGTAACCCATATGTCAATGTTGTAAAATAAAAAATAGAATGTAATACATGTACATGTAGTTTTCAAAAAATAAAAATTATATGATGAATATTTAATTCCTTGAAGAAATTAATTAAAATACAAGCAATCATTTGAAACAAAACCTCCCTAAAGTATGAATAGATAAATAATCTTTTGTCTTTTTTAACTAAAAGTAGTTTGTTAGACCCAATACAAAAACCAAATATGGCATGACTTTGCAAAATTCCACTAATTATTTGTTATTCATGCAAAATTATATTGTAAAATATGAAGAATAAATTATTAATATATTTTAAAAATTTAATCAAAAGAATAAAATATTATGTAATAATTTTTAAAATTAATGAGTATGATTATATAATTTTTTTATATTATAAATTTTTATTTAATTCTTTTAGAAGTCTATAAAAATATCAATTATTATTTTATTATTTAAAAATTTATTAAAAATGAAAATAATAAATAAAAGATTATTTTAAAAAAAGAAATAATAACATCCAAGCTCCATAAGACTTTTGAATTATCTTTTAATTTTAAAGTTTTTTTTGATAATGACACTTATTATTATGATATTAAATTATATATATATATATATATATATATATATATATATATATATTATAAATATGAATTAAAATATTATTTAGTAATAATTGATACATAAAAATTATATACATTAATATACATCAAAATATTAATTTAAAAAAAAAACCAATTTAGGTTAAAATCTTAAAATTATATTAAAAATAATTAAGAGTGAAATTCAAATTTCATTTCTTAAGCATAAATAAAAATTTAGTTTTTCAATTAAAAATAAGTTTTATGGTCATTTTCTATGTTTTGAATTTTTTTATGTTCAATTTAATATCTTTATAATTTATTATTAAAATATGTTTTTACCAATGACTATAAAATTGTATATAAATTTTAAGATTATATATTTTATTAATACATATTTTTCTTATAAAATTTCACTATGATTAAAGTTATTTAAACCAAAATTTGTATTAATATAATTAATAATATATAAAATACAAGAGATTGTATAAATAGATGTGATAGTTAAAAAAAGTGGTTTAAATTTTTTAATTTTTTTGTAGAAATAATTATAAATACTTTTATACATAAAAATATAATTTTTTTTTTAAAAATATACATATATAATATTACTTCTTATAAATTATCTCCTAGTATGTTATGATCTTTGATAAGTATTGAAAAATTGAGCAACCAACTTAATTATACTATAATTAAGTTATAATTATCTTAAATTATCAATTATAGTGACGGAGGGACAAAAACAAAAGGCCACAATTTTGTGGAGGATATAAATAATAAAAAATCTGATTTAGCGAAGAATTTGATGTACTTTATTGTAAGTCTTTTGTATGCAGATTTTGTTAAATGTTGCAAAGGGTCTTATAGGTAGTATATTCATCCACATCTCCAACATTCAGCATGGAGATAACTTTGAAAAGGCTCCGCAACTTCTTTTGTGCACATGAACAATACTGACATACAATCTTCCTTGAGGATATTGTCAACATCTTTGCTTTCTTTTACTTATTGATAATGAATAAGTTCAATGATTTTGTGATCATCTAACTCAATATGCATATCATTTTCTTTGATTGAATTGAAC